TATCTATCATATCGGATATAAAATCTGTAAACTTAGCAGCACCATTGGTAACAACTAAAGTACCAACTCTAAAAGGGCTGATTATTTCCAGGAAACTGGATGGTTTCTTTTTGGCAGGAGATTTGCTCTTTTTTGGCGGTTTCTTAGTCTCTTCTTCATTTTCTTCATTCTTTGGAGCATCGCTTTCCTTTGGAGAAGCACTATCGTCTTTAGGATCTTCCTTTGCAGCATCTTCAGCTGGAGCATCTTTATTTTCATCAACTGGGGCATCTTCGGGTTTCTCCTCTGCTGGAGCTTCTTTGGGGGCTTCCTCTGCTGGAGTTTCTTCGTCTTCTTCTTCTACTGGAGCATCTTCGGGTTTCTCATCTGCTGGAGTTTCTTCGGGTTTCTCCTCTGCTAGAGCTTCTTCGTCTTCTTCAGGTGCCTCTTCCTTACCTTCATCAGATGGTTCTTCAGCATCTTCGGAAGGCTCCTCCGATTTAGTTTCAGTTGCATCTTTCGTAGCAGCTGCATCCTCTGGTATAGGCTGTGCGTAGCCTATTTGGCTCATGGCCAAAACACAGAGGCCCACAAATAAAAATATCAACAAAAATTTCATACTGCAATTAAAGAACAAATTCAACTAAATGCCTTCTCAAATTAACCTTCGACATCCTGGTGATATTTATACGAAATCAACGACTTCTATTTATTGTGAAAATAATTTGTTTTAACAAATGCATAAAATTCAAACATTTAAACAGCTTATTGAGCAAAAAGTAATACAAAAGCAATTGTCTCTAACAGAAAAATATGTGTTTTATTGATTTGTTTTATTTGGTGGTTTACTGAAATATATACGGTAAGTAAATACTTTACTGTTTACTTTTGTATGTTATTTGGGGCTATACAGTGTTATTTTTAGATATCAACACAGAGTGGCAGAATCACAGCGTTGCACTACCATTTTGAAATTTGCTATAGGAAACATTTTAGTTCCGTTCCAGAACCTAAAAGAATCTACTAATTTTACAAGTTTTGCCACTTTTTACTCGAAAACCGTTCCTGAACCCACAAAACTAGTAAAACATTGAACCAAATTTAAGAGAACACAAAACAAAATGGTGTTCTCTTTGTAAACTTTTTACTCGAAAAATTTGTCCGAGTAAAATTGGTAAACAGGAATGCCAACTTCTGATTGGCTGTTATGTTGATTTTGAAGTATTGCCATCTAATTTTTGGCATATTTACTAGATTTGCGTTCCCGAACTTTTCAAATTATTTTATATTCTGAGAGTGATTTTGAAATGTCTCCCTTTTAATAGATTTACTATTAAAAAAGTACTTGAACAGACCAATTATTCTAATATATTTCAATATTTTTGATAGTCACAGTTCCAACCCTGGCATGTACCTCAAATTGATTTCCTAATAAAATATTTGTGTAGACTACTTTAAGGCATTTCCATAAAGAAAGACAGATCCATACTGTAGTGGAGTGTTTAGTAGTATCATTTCCGACCTTAAATGTATTTATATATATGGTCACGAAGGTATTGTAAGATGATTTAATCATCCTCTACATCTACTGCAATTCCGGATCGAAGTAGAAAGTTTAAACGGATCGAAGTAGAAAGTTTAAATTTGAATGAGAGTCTCTTTTTTGTAGCATGGTAAAGTTTGAAGATGAACTAAATGGATCTGCACGAAAATCTGATTCTTGAAAAAATTTTATACATTTTTGTATGTATAAAGTGACGTCGAAGTGCAGTTACCTAGGTTGAAAAGATAGTGAATGTCTTTTTGTGGGTCTCTTGTAAAGGCGAGAATATCCGTGTGAAGCATATGGAAATGATCCCTGTTAACATTGGTCCTTAGAGTCGGATCAGTGACCGATTCTAAAGGAAATTGATGCTGAAGAATTTTCCTTAAAGGTCGAGGAAATTCTATCAGCTTGGTGGCTTGGTCCAAAAAGAAGAACGAAGGGGTGATGTTATGGGACGAGTCGCACAATGGCTCAGCACCGACCGAAGACATAAAGTCTCTACTAGCAAATATCGACATGTTGGTCGTGGTAATCAATGCGACCGTGAATATGCAGGAGATAGGGAGCGCTGTACAGGAGATCTAACGAGAGTGGGCACCCGATAAAGTGAAAAATGATCCGGTGGTTCGTGATCGTTGTATGTAGCTATTAACGAAGAAATCCACGCCTGAAAGTATGGGGATTCTTCCCAATATTTTCTTTAAACATCCACGCCTAAATGTATTGAGATTCTTCCTAATACCTTTCCGCGATGAAGAGGCTTGTGAATGGAATGTGCCGGGCATCTACTGGAATATGATGTGGCTGGTGAGAATCTGAAGAAGACAATGACAAATAATTCAGCCTGAAAGAGGAAACCAGCAGATGGTGGAGGTGCCAGCATGAGAAGCAGGTTGAAGAAATGGCGGTAGTAAATAGATGCGATCGTCTAGATCTTTTTGGATTTCTTTAAATTTAAATTATGGTTGTTGGTGCATTTTCTGTCCCTCAAGATAGCGAACAGAGATTTTCGTATAATAAAGATAGTAATAGTGCAGTGGCTCCCTTTTGTAAAGGAGAGAATATTTAGTTAAAAAGGGATCTATTTTTGTATACAGTCCACTTAAGATAAGAGCTTTTTCTTGATGATGTTTGTATTCCAGAATAAGATAGGATTTTTATACCCTTCGTCGTGTATATGTTTGTAACAGAAAAAGGAATGAAATTTGGGACAGCTCATTTATTTGGCCAAAGAACGAATCCTATTAAAATTGGGGAAAATCGGTTTAGATTTAGATATAGCTCCCATATATATTTTCGTCCGATTTAATGTAAATGGTGTACCAAAGTCCCTATATATCTTTCGATTTGCACGAAATTTGGCACAGCGTACTGAATTAGGTCTAGAATGATGTGTGTGAAGTTTCCCGAAAATCGGTCCAGATTTACATATAGCTACCATATATATTTTCTTCCGATTTAATGTAAATGGTGTACTCCATATATATTTTTCCATTTGCCTGAAATTTGGCATAGCGAAATGAATTAGGTCTAGTATGATGTGTGTTAAGCTTCCTGAATATCGGTCCAAAATTTAGATATAGCTCCCATATATATTTTCGTCCGATTTAATGTAAATGGTCCCTATATATCATTCGATTTGCTCAAAATTTGGTACAGCGTACTGAATGATGTGTGTTAAGTTTCCTGAAAATCGGTCCAGATTTTGATATACCTCTCATATATATTTTTGTCCGATTTAATATAAATGGAGTACTATCTTTCGATTTGCATGAAATTTGGCATAGCATACTTTACATTAATATTTTCTTCCGATTTTAATTAAATGGTGCCCCAAACTCCTCATTTTTTATCATTTTGACGCGAAATTTTGCACAAAGTACAAAATTGAGTAGAGAGTGACGTAATTGCTTTTTGTAGAAATTTAGCGTAGGGGATGATAGATACCAAGCAACGGCTTTGATTGGCTTTAACATGGCGAAGCCCAGGCTTATCTTGGTCCCTCTTTCATCTCAATTGTGGACACTGACCTCCCCGCGGTGCCACCTGGGGAGCTATTCTCATCACCCGATGAAATAGTGAGCTAATATGTGCCGCGAGTTCACCCATAAGAACTATAAAAAAATGGGTTGAGGCGTCGGGTTAGTTGCCCACTCTCGGAAAACCCAACCTACTATGAAAAAGCAAAGAAAAAGAAAACCAAACCCCCCTAATGTTGACGACCCCCGCAAACGTATAAAGGACCACGATCTGCGAATCTGCACTTGGAATGTGCGCACGTTGTACAGAACAGGGGCAGTGTTCGCTTTGGCGGATATACTTAAGAAGTACAAAGCCGATATTATTGCCTTACAGGAAATGCGATGGAAAGGGACAGGCGTAAGTAAATCAGACGATTACGCCCTGTATTATAGCTGCCATGAAACGAGACATGAATTTGGCTGCGGATTTATGGTTAACAGGAGAATAAAAGACCTTGTCTCCAGATTCACTCCAGTAGATGAGCGAATTGCTATAATCCGTATAAAAGCGAAGTTCTTTTACATCAGTCTAATTTGCGCCCATGCTCCGACCGAAGATAAAGATGAACAGACCAAAGATATATTTTATGAGCGCCTAGAAACAGCATATGACCGTTGCCCTGGCCATGACATTAAAATTCTGCTAGGAGATTTTAATGCAAAAATCGGAAGGGAAAATATCTTTGGCCCCACCGTCGGAAAATTCAGCCTTCATGAAGAAACTTCCGACAACGGCATGAGGTTGATTGACTTCGCGGCAGCAAAAAACATGGTAGTTAGCAGCACCAGATTCAAGCATCTCGATATACACAAGGCCACCTGGATTTCTCCTGATCAAGTAACGAGAAATCAAATTGATCATGTTGTGATAGACGGAAGGCATGCATCCAGTGTGTTAGACGTCCGATCGATCCGAGGAGCGAATATCGATTCGGACCATTACCTTGTGGCAGCCAAGGTACGCACCCGTCTAAATGTTGCAGCAAAGGTGCGATCTAATACAACACGGAAACTCGACGTCGAAAAGCTGCAAACAAAACAGGTAGCCGAGGCCTACTCCGCTCAACTTACCCATCTGCTTGAAGAAAGCACTTCTTGTCCCGATACTAGTATAGAAACACAATGGCAAAGAATTGCCCACTCCCTACAAACTGCAGCAAAAAGAACAATTGGGTACCAAAAACCACCACCAAGAAACCCATGGTACGATCAGGAGTGTCGTAATGCTACTGATGTGAAAAACGCAGCGTATAGGGCAACCCTGCAGACAGTAGCAACACGTAACGTGATGGAGAATTATCGGGAGAAAGGAGAGAGGAGAAACGTGTTTTCAGAAAAAAGAAGAAAGAACAAGAAAAACGTGAGCGTGAGCAAATCGAGATGTACAGGAGTCAGAATGAAGTCCGGAAATTTTACCAACGAGTAAAACACCAAACCGAAGGCTTTGGTGCAGGCACATCCTCCTGTAGAGATGAAGAAGGAAACCTGGTGACAGATACAGACAGCGTGTTGAGGATCTGGAAGGAGCATTTCGAAAAGCTACTAGTATCAAATAGTGGCGATGAAGAAGATACCCCAGAACCAATAGGAGATGATGGTATAGAGTGTATACCACCTAGCCAAGATGAGGTCATAAAAGCAATTAATCGGCTCAAGAACAACAAAGCAGCAGGAGCCGATGGGTTACCAGCCGAACTATTCAAGACTGGTGGCCAGATGCTGGTCAGGAGCATGCACCAGCTGATTAACACAATTTGGCTAGATGAATGCATGCCCAATGATTGGAACCTCAGCATCCTGTGTCCCGTGCACAAAAAAGGAGACAAGACGATATGTGCCAACTATAGAGGAATAAGTCTCCTTCCCATCGCATATAAAGTGCTATCCAGTGTGCTGTGTGAACGATTGAAGCCAATGGTCAATGACATCATCGGACCATACCAATGCGGCTTCAGACCTGGCAAATCGACCATTGACCAGATTTTCACTCTGCGCCAAATCCTGGAAAAGACCCACGAAAAACACATCGACACATATCACCTATTTGTCGACTATAAAGCCGCATTCGACAGCCCTATCCGTTCAGAGGTGTTTAAAGCCATGTCTGCGTTCGGCATTCCTGCAAAATTAATACGGCTATGCAGGATAACTTTAAGTGGCACAAGGTCAGCCGTTAAAGTAGGAAAGGACCTATCGGAGCCCTTCATTACCGAACGAGGATTCAGACAAGGTGACAGTTTGTCGTGTGATCTTTTTAACATCCTACTGGAAAAGGTCATACGAGACGCAAAGGTGAACAGAAATGGCACCTACGCCGATGACATCGATATAATGGGTCGAACATTGCGAGCGGTAACAGCCACCTTTGAACAAATTGAAAAGGAGTCTGCTAAAGTGGGTCTGGCAGTAAACGGCGAGAAGACCAAGCTGATGGTATCAACGCGCAAGACGTCCAGTAGACTCGGACAAACTGTGGAACTTGAGAACTACAGCTTCGAGGTAGTTAAAGACTTTATATACCTTGGTACCGCCATAAATAAAACGAATGATATCAGTTTTGAAATTCGGAGAAGGATTGTGATGGCCAACAGATGCTACTATGGTCTAAGTAAGCAGTTTAGAAACAAGGCCACCTCTCGCCAGACCAAACTCACACTTTACAAGACGCTGATACTACCCGTGCTATTATATGGATCAGAAGCATGGGTACTTGCGCAAGCAGATGAGGCAGCGCTTGGGGTGTTTGAGAGAAAAATTCTCCGAAAGATCTACGGGCCGATCTGCGTCGACGGTGAATATCGGCGTCGAATGAACCACGAGCTCTACAATTTATACGCAGACATCGACATAGTCAGTCGTATTGAGCTGCAGCGACTACGGTGGCTAGGCCATGTTGTGCGGATGAATGAAGATGCCCCAGCTCAAAAGGCATATAAAAATGAGCCTACGGATGGTTCCCGTAGAAGGGGAAGGCCACGAATTAGATGGAAAGACCAAGTAGAAAACAACATCTTGGAACGTGGTCTTCCAAATTGGTGGACTTGCGCACAAGACCGACGCGCTTGGAAATCTTTTTTAAGCTCGGCTTATGGAACAACCGTTCTGTAACAAGCCAGCTAAGTAAGTAAGTAAGTAAGAAATTTAGAAATGTTGGCATAGCTCATATATTCGACCGACTTCATGTTTATTGGGTTTCAAATAATCAACGAGTGTCCGATTGAGATTTGCTTTAAATCGATTTACAAAATTTAATCTCATTCTCTTTCTATCCAAATGAAGAGTTTCGTATATCTTACAGAATGACATTTTTATGGATTGATCTAAGTCGGTTCATATTTATATATAGATCATGTTATCTAAGAATGCATCTGTTGAATATACCCAAAGTAGTGAAGGGTATCATATAGTCGGCCCCGTCCGACTTTACTACTTTCCTTACAGTTTTTAACCTACGCCTAAAGGTATGAGGTTCTTCCTATTTTTTTAATCTACACCTAAAGGTATGTGGTTCTTCATATTTTTTTAAATTCACGCCAAAAGGTATGGTGATTCTTCTAAAGGTATAAAGATTCTTGCTAAAATTTTTAAATCAACAACTAAATGTATGGGCATTCTTCATACAAACTTATTTTAAAATCCACGCCTAAAGGTATGGGGATTCTTCCTAAAATATTCATTAAAAATCCACGCCTAAATGTATGAAGATTCTTCCTAAAATAGTCATTAAAAATCTACAACTAAAGGTATAGAGATTCTTCCTACAATTTTCATTAAAAATTTACGTCTAAATGTATGGGTAATCTTCCTAACATATTCATTAAGACTCAACGACTAAAGGTATGGGCATACTTCAAAAATTTTTTTTTTTTAAATTCCACGCCTAAAGGTAAGCTTCTTCCAAAAAATATTAATTAAAAATCCACACCTAAAGGATTCTTCTTTAAAAAAATATTTATTAAAAATCCACGCCGAAAGTTATTCTTCTTCCAAAAAATATGAATTGAAAATCTAAGCCCAAAAGTATGGGGATTCTTCGTAAAATATTCATTAAAAATCCGCGGCTAAAGGTATGGGGATTCTTGCTATAGTATTCATTAAAAATCCACGCCTAAAGGTATGGTGATTCTTCCTAAAATATTCATTATGAAACTGGTTCCGGCTTTGATGATGAAGCCGCTAAAAATTGTGATCCGAAAGTGGACAATTGTTTAGCCCATATTCCGATATAGTACAGTCCAATGATGCCACCAGCTCATAAACCGCATCAAACTGTTTTTTTTTTTTTTTTTTTTTTTTGATGCTTTGTTAGGTTTCGCAATGCACTCCAAAATCACCCTTTGTATAAGAATTGGGTAATAACAAACGCTCAGTTTAAACAACTCCGACTAGAATCTTGAAATGTGCTATATATATATACTATATAATAGTACCTCGTTGTTAAGTTCGGCCGGATCGAAAACACACTCATGTTGGGAAATTCGGCAAAGACCTTTGCATACCTAAAATGCAGCGTTTTCTTTATATGATGGCTGTCCCAAACCATAGAACTATTTCGAACGTTCACCTTGAATGCCAATTTTCCGTCACTTCCTTTCCTTACGCCAAGAAACATCAAAATGTTCATATATGATGCGGAAATTTTATGTCGTAACTATGTCAAAACTTCAGTGGTTGATGTACTCTCCTCTGTGGTACTCTCTTTCGTTGTACTTTCTTCAGTAGTTGAGATAGGCGTTGTACTCGCCTCAGTGGAAGTACTTTCCTCAGTAGTTGATGTACCTATATTCAAACTTTTTGTTAAGGTGTCCAAAATTCTTCTGTTTGACAACGAGGCTTAAAACTTCAAAATACAGATAATGGGCGGTACCGTTAATTGGAGACTTTATCAAAACGTGGGCCGATATATCGTCCTTTTTATACCAAACTCGTACTCGGACGACATTATCCTTTTAGTTTGGGATTGTGTAGTAACCAACAATAACTGCAATTTTGGAATATCGAATATATTGTTTTTGTAAGGAATTTTAAAATTCGTTATACCTTACTTCTACATAGTATTTAGATTTATACATTTATTTTGAAGATTTTAAAATATATTTTCACCGTAATTTGTTTATACAAACTTCAATAAAAAGGCTTCCGATTAATTGTATTAACTAAAAGAAAATAGATAATATCTCCTGACCAATTGTTCTGATTGGGTTCGGTTGAGGTTTTGGCTTTGGTTTAGGTTTAGAAGTCTTTTTGGCCTTCGGTTTGCGTTTTTTCTTATTCGGTTTTTTGCTTTTGGGTTTCTGATTTTTCTTTTGAGGTTTCTTTTTCGGCTTCTTCGATTTCTTTTTGGGCTTTTTCTTTTTCGATTTTTTACTTGGTTTCTTGGCTGGCTTTTTACTTGGTTTTTTAGTTGGACGTTTCGTTGTTGTTGTAGTTGGCGTCGTGGGTGCTGGTGTAGTTGTTGTATCCTCAGATTCGGTTGTAGTAATTTCTGTTGTTGAGACTACAGAATCGGCACTAGGTTCAGTTGTGGCTTCGGTAGGTCTAGTGGTTGTCACTGTAGTTTCTTCTGTAGGTTCAGCTGTGGTTTCAGTTGTTTCCTCTGTAGGTTCGATCGTTGTTTCGGTGGTTTCCTCCGTAGGTTCGACTGTTGTTTCGGTGGTTTCCTCTGTAGGTTCGACCGTTGTTTCGGTAGTTTCCTCCGTAGGTTCGACTGTGGTTTCAGTTGTTTCCTCCGTATGTTCGACCGTTGTTTCGGTCGTTTCCTCTGTAGGTTTCACTGTAGTAGTTGGTTCGGTATCATCCTCTGGTTCTTCTTCGGCATCCTCTGGTTCCTCGGCTGCCTCTGCAGGTTCTTCAGCATCATCATCCTCTTCCTCAGGTTCCTCTTCGTCATCTTCATCCTCTGCCGCATCAGGTGCTTCTGTACTAGCTTCAGTTGTACTATCTACGGTAGTACTTTCCTCGGTAGTGGGCGCGGTACTAGTTTCCAAAGGAGTTGTACTCTCCTCTGTGGTACTCTCAACGGTAGTACTTTCTTCGGTAGTTGATATTGGTGTTGTACTCTCCTCTGTAGTACTTTCTTCAGTAGTTGGTGTACTCTCCTCTGTGGTACTCTCTTCTGTAGTAGTTTCTTCAGTTGTTGAGATGGGCGTTGTACTTTCCTCTGTGGTACTTTCTTCAGTTGTTGATATTGGCGTGGTACTCTCTTCCGTAGTACTTTCTTCTGTAGTTGATGTACTCTCATCTGTGGTACTCTCTTCAGTAGTACTTTCTTCAGTAGTTGATGTACTCTCCTCTGTGGTACTCTCTTCCGTTGTACTATCTTCAGTTGTTGAGATAGACGTTGTACTCTCCTCAGTAGAAGTACTTTCCTCAGTGGTTGATGCTACTGTGGTGCTTTCCGAAGTCTCATCTTCAGCCGCTTGAGAAATATGAGCTAGTCCCAGAAATACAAATAAGCACAATATTAATAATTGCAAAAACTTCATGGCGCTAATTTAACGCCTTAACTTCCCAAAGCGAGGGTTTGGTCTTCGTAAAATGAAGTGACTTGCCATCATATCTATCATCGATATTTATTGCAATGAACCCCTTATTGAATTTTAGCATTGTAAATTATAGCAACCTATTGTGTGTCGCAAAAAAATTGCATTGATCGCCATTGAACAATGTATTGAAATAAAATATTAATTTATTGTTTTACATTTATTTTTGTGGCACAGAACAACAAAGAAAATTTAATTTGAATTAATGATGTATTAATTCTTATTAAAAATATATTTATTTATTATAAAAGGCTTTGTTCATGAATATAATGTAAATAACGATGTTTAACAAATTCTCTACAACAATGTTTGAAACAAAACACAAAAACTCCAATAAAAATTAAAACAAATATTCAAATAAAATACATTTTAAAATGTTTGACTGCCAAAAGATAAAATACCAAGACATTTCCACAATCAGGATGCTGTAACATGCGACAAAGAAGTATGAGTTGAGATGACATTTGACTGAAGACATGACATCTCAAAAATAACCTGCAATAGCCATAAACCAAGATATAAAGCGTTTTTCTTCATCAATATTACAGTAACCGTGTCATAACTCTTCTTCAGTTCAGATGTTGTCAATCACAAGCTCATCTATGTATAAAAAATCCCTTCAGAAGTTAATGTTTTCAGAAGTTATTCTGAACATAGAAGCCCATAAAAAGTTATTCTGCTCATAGCAGAACATAAGGAGAATTTGGAAATCCTTTCATTAAAATATAGAAATGCTTAGTATTTCATTAAACAAATGACTTATTATTTGTTGGATTCCTATCGTATTAATTTTTGATAATTTGTATACGTTAGAAGCACAGCTTCATGCTTAAGGGCCCCCTTCATTCTCGATTTCAAATTTCGACGAGTTTCTACTGGCTGACAAATGAGCATATATCTATATATGTAAAAGGGCTTAGTGTTAAGTGAGTGAGTGAGTGACTGACTGACAGATCATCGCCCAGACGAAACGGCTGAAGCTAGAAGCTTGACATTTTGAGTGTGGGTTGTTGTTGGTGTGTAGGCGTGAGATAAGGCTGGGTTTTTGGAGATTCGTACTAGAAGGGTACGAAAAGTACTAAAATGTACCAAATATGGTACCCCTTGTATTAGGCGAACGGGAAGAGCTAGAATTCTGAAGTTTGGAATATGGGTCACTGATGGAAAGTTAGAAAGATGTACAAAAGGGTTTTTGGAATTTCGACCTATAAGTGTACTAAAAGTACTAAATTTAGTTCTAATTCTACATATATTGAACATATTTAGCTAAAATCTTGAAATTTTATATAGAATACAGGTTGGGAAGTAGTGTTGAATTTGGTGCAAGTTAGATTTCGGTTCACATATAGAGCTGGAGTCTTGAAATTGGGAATTAAAATGACAGTTGCAGTGTAGAATTGAGGTAGTTTTGGAAATTCGTACTTATTGGTACGAAAAGTACTAAATCGTACTAAATATAGTACAATTTGGATTTTGCTTAAACGGATGAAATTTGGAATTCTGATTACTGTTGAAGATTGAGCTATAGAGACATCTATGGAAATTCGTATTTGTGTGTACGAAAAGTACTAAACCGCACTAGATATGGTACAATTTGGATTTGGGTGAACGGAGAGAGCTGGAAACCTAAAATTTGGAATAATGGTTGCATTTAGAATATAGAATTAAGGTATGGAAGCATAGTACGTATGTGTACTTAATGGTACTATATTTGGTACAACTTGATTAAGTGGATAGAGTTGGACTCCCGAATTTTGGAATTAAAATTATTTTTGAAGTGTAGGCTTGACGTAGTTTAATTATAGAAACAAAAAGTACTAAATGGTACCAATGGATAGGGTTGAGATCCTGTAATTTTGATTAAATTAATATTACTGTTGGAGTGCAGGATTGAAATATGTCGGTAGTTTTGAAAATTTGTCATTTAGTGTACTAAATGGTACTAAATTTGGAAAACTTAAATTTAGTATGCAAATCACAGAATTAAGGTCGTATTGGAATTTCGTACTCTTAGATACGAGAAGCACTAAATAGTACTAAATAGTGTAAAATTCGTTTTGTGTGAGCGGGAACCCTAAAATTTGGAATCAAAATTAAGGGTGGAGTGTAGGATTGAGATATGGGGGTAGTTTTGAAAATGAATGATTATGTGTACTAAATGGTACCAAGTTTATTTGGATTGAGATAAAAAACTTATATATGAAAATAATATATGAATATATATATGAAAATAAAATTACTGTTAGAGTACAGGAATGAGACAGTGTTGAAAATTCAAACTTAAAGTACGAAAAGTACTAAATGGTACTAAATATGCTACAATTTGGATTTATGTGAACGGATAGGTCTGGGATCCTGAAATTTTTGATTAAAAATACTGTTGGAGTGTGGTGAACGGATGGAGCTGGAATCCTTAAATGTGGACTAAAGGTTATTATTGGAGAACATGACTGGGGTAGTTTTGGAAATTCGAACTTATGGGTACGAAAAGCACACAATTTGGTACAAATTGGACCTTGGTGAACGGGTAGAATTCGAATACCGAAAGTTGCAACTTAGGTTACTGTGGGAGTTTTGATTTGATAAAGTTTGGAATATGGGTACGAAAAGTACAGAATGGTACCAAATCTGGTACAATTTGGTTTTTGATGAACAGGCAGAGCTAGAATTCTTAAATTTTGACTTATGATTACTATTTGAAGTAAGGATTGAGATATATTTGGAAATTCGTACTTATGAGTACGAAAAGTACTAAATTTGGACTTTGGTGGAATTAAGATTACTGTTGGAGAGTAAGATTGATGTAGTTTTAGAAATTCTTACTTATAAGTATGATGGTACTATATTTGGAACCATTTGGATTTGGTTGGAATGATTTATACGAATAGTAAATAGAATAGCAAATGCACTAAATTTCGATTTCGGCAACAGAATCACATTATATGCATAGAATCACATTCTATGTCGATTTATTCATATCCGTCTGTCTGTCCGTGTTAAATTGTAAACAAAGAACAGGTCGCATTTATGATCCGAATTGGATGAAATTTGGCATACGTCACATATTTGGCCCAATTGGGAAAAATCTGTTCAAATTTAGATATAGTTCCCATATATATTTTAGTCCGATTTTTGGTAAATAGTGCACCAAACTCCATATATATCCTTCAATATACACGAAAGTAGGCACAGCGGAATTACGTCTAGGGCGATGTGTGTTAAACATCGTGAAAATCGGTTCCGATTTAGATATAGCTCCCATATATAACTTCGTCCGATTTAATGTAAATGGTGTACCAAAGTCCCTATACATCTTTCGACTTGCACGAATTTTTTTTTTTTTAACAGATTAAAACCAGTAAGGAAATTAGTAAAGTACCCCACTAATTTCCTTACTGGTTTTAATCTGTTTAATGGAAGTAAAATAGTGCTTATGTGTATGAATCGCAAAATATAGTATAACAAATTAACAGTATTTACGATACCATATGAAATATTTTTTGTATTCCCTTTCCGCATACGAAGTAGCGGGCACTTTGCTAGTTATGCTATAAAATTCTAACTTGAAGACTTAAAGAAGTAAATAAATTGACAAACTGTTGTTGTCATATTGCTGTTTTTTGTAATAAAAGAAAAAGTCATTCTTTTCGAAGGCGGGCATGATTGCCGATCTCTTAAATATCTGAACCTCAAAATTCCAACGCAGTTAGAAAGTGTACAATATATAGTTCTGGTATGAACTAGGATTATTGACTTCGATCGAAAATCAGCCAAATGACGGACCTAGGAAAATTATTTGTTGGATAATCGCCTATTTACAACCAAAAACCATGTTGAAAACTAGGTAGGATCTTCACCGACTGGATTCATACGATAGCTATGTAGGTCCAGAACAACGTGTTAAAATTTGGAGGAGATTGGAATAACAGTTTTTGAGTAATCGCATTTGCCAATCGCAAACACACTGTTTCGAGAAAAACGCGTTTAAAGTTTGAGAATCACTCTTGCCGTCGCTTAATGCTAACACAATAAATCGGTTATATCTTCTAGAGTTGTTAAGATTTTCAGTTGAAATTTTAAAGAGGCATTCTTGAGAAGCTATAGGTTCACATTAAATAAAAATATATATTATGAAACCTAACCTAAAAATATAATGTTTGTAGAAGATTGATAGAAAAAAAATATATAGAAAAAGTACCTTTGGGGTTGATTCGGTATTTTGAAGTGGGGCACATTCGGCTGTATTATTTCCTTAATTTTTTTTTTTTTTTTTTTGGGGTTTGTCTTTAAAAAATATTTTAATATGGTTCAAAATTACATATAAAAGACCAAACGAGCTTCTATAGACGAAAATGCGATAGAAAATGTTTTTCTGATGGTGTGTGGCCTTGAGCCCCGACTGAAAATATAGCCTTAAAAGTCAAACATCTAGTCACATATTAAAACAAAATTGAACCTTTAGAGGATCTGAATTTCAACCAGACATATAGCGGTGATAATTACCAGGCTATGACTATGGTACCGAATGACTATGGATCAAATGACCCCGGGTAGGGGCATATTCGGCGAATTTGAACTTTTTTACAAAACTATAACAAATTTTAATCAATACTAGTTTATTATATGTTTTTGTTACTAGTATTTAAAATTAAGTATCAGAGGACAATTGTCAGCCATAAAGTGTTTATATCTGTTAAAAAAGTACTGAGATGTAGAGCTCTAAAAAGTGCCGAATGGTTTCCAGTCTCCCCTAGTTCGAATTTGCATTACGTCCAACACACATAACCATAGCAAAGGTAAAAATATGAGTTACGACAAACAAAATTCAAAATCAATTTTTTTATCTTCTCAGCTTTCATGTCTAAAACATCCGAAAATATTTATTGACATGAGCCGAAAGATATGTCATCATCTTAGTCAACAAAATTGAATGTCAATCGGATATCTATGAAATCGGACAAATCATATATTATCTATATAAAAATCTGAATTGATTTGAAAAAAAATTAATATAATTTGGACCTTTCTGCAACATTTCTTCCCAATCGAACTAACCTATGGTAC